TGACTTCAGTAAATTGTATATCATTCCAAGACCAATTGTATCATAGACATTAGTTCTGGGGTTTCAAATGTACTATTAGTATAAAACTTCGATATACCTTTGTAGTTTCAGCAGTTGACATTCATTTGTATAAATATAATACTATTTAATTGTGACTGCAAAGTTAATAAATATTAACCCAAGGTCCATAGTACAATATGGATTTTTTTTGTCATTTTATTGTTATAATTCACCATTACATTCAGCATCATTTCAAGTCTGCACTCTAAGGTTAGACCAATGGAAGTCTGTTTAATTAATTGTTAGTAGATATACAGTAGTCTGTGATTTGAGACCAGTTGGTGTAATCAGCTGCTACTTCAAAATTGAAATACATATCTATAGTATCTAAATTTATACATGCATACTTTACATGTAAATATTTGCATACATACTATGTACAGACACACATATTACAAATTTTATACAATGTATACTTGCTTTTATATTTTATAGCCATAATCATAGGATAAAACCCTGAATGTCAAGCCAGATAATACATTAATAATTATTAGCAATACAATTTAACAGAACAATCTGTCCAAGGTTTAGGAAGTACTTCAACTCTCATTAATCATTATGAAACATTAATCCCGGGAATTTTGCTTGTGAGATATGATTGTCATACTGCCAGACACGAGAGCTTTGTTCAAGTTTACATATTATAAGAATATAAAATATAAACTTTTACGTAAATACCATTATCTACATGTGATGAATCAGTGTGTGTGTATATGTGTGTATGTGTGTTGTGGGGTAGCAGGTGTTTACCCCTATCATGAACAAGCGAAAAGTTCATTGTGGTTACCTAAAAGGGCCTTTGAAACAACAACAACAAAAAAAAACCAGTTGGATGAGGGAGTATAATATTACAGCACAGAAGTGGACTAGGAAATGGCAATGAAGCGACAGAACAAAACCGTCATATTATAGATGGCCAATTATGATTGTCGGTTAGCTGTTCGAATAGATAATAGGGCAAATTTTGTGCATGTTATGCTACAACTTTTTGTCGTTGTTTGGCCGTTTAATTTTATTAGACCAACCACAAACCGTAGCCTTTTTATAGAGAATCATCCAATAAAGATATTAATCAAAAGTTCGTCATCTCTTCGTTCACGAAAACAGGCTAATCTAAAATTATTCCTAGGACAAGGGCACACAAGTGCAAATTAATTTCGAAAATCATGTATCGTGGGAATAAACAAAAATTTATTGTTTGATAGTAACAAGCTGTTGATTAGGCCAACAGGAGAATACATATACATACTATTGATTAGAAACGTGTATGTCCAATGTAGAAGGGGAGATTGTGATTGTGTTTGTCGCTTCACTGTCATGTCTGTGTCCTCCTGTGCTGTAATATTATACTGCTTCATTATAATGTGTGTGTCTGTACATAGTATGTAAATATGTACATGTATAGTATGCATATGTATAAATTTAGATACTATAAATATATATCTCCATTTCAATTCGGAAGTAGCTGCTGATTACACCCATTTTGTACTGTAGACCTTGGAATAATATTTATTACCTTTGCAGTCACAATTATATAATATTATAATAACATATTTATACATATGAATGTCAAATGCTGAAACAGCAAAGTTTACTGAATAATACTGAAGTTTTATACTAATAGTAAATTTAAAACCCCCACGGAACTAATTTCTATGATACAATTGGTCTTGGAATGATATAAATTTCACAGAAATCAACTGTTTATTAAAAATATATAAATATAATTATATAATATTTATTGACATTACACTTTTACATCAGTGGCAGCACACAAGAAAGTGGCGCAGTCAAACTTAAACTAATGAACAAATAGTAAAAACAACAACTTAAAGCTAAACAAATGAAAGAACTTATGAACAAAGAGTAAAAGAACAACTTAAAGCTAAACAAATGAAAGAACTTAACTAAAGAAAATACAACTTAGATCTAAAATAAATCATGAACATCCCTCACCCTCCCCACACAAATAATGTACATAATACACATTACGTGCATACAGTACCCCACCCAAATATATGCA